CGCTGTAGCCACGTCGGCGCCAGTGCAAAGGCTTGTCGGTCCCCGAGGCAACCGTCCTTCTGTCTTACTCGTCGAACCCATGCAGTGTCCCGCGGCCTTTTTTTTATTATCTTTTTCTTCCCTCCGCTCTTCGTTCGGTCACTCCGTGTCCCCTCCTCCTCCGTAACGACCTCGTTGTTCGCTCCCCAGCGGCTCACCCAGCATGCCTTCTTTCAGAAGTGCACTTGCTACCGCATTTGTCACAAATAATTTTCGGCAACTGCATTATAACCGGTCTTTCATCTTGGGAGACTGCACAACAAGCGGTATGGGTTTACATAGGGTTCTACGGGAGGGCAAACGGAAGTAGAAAAAGACTGCATCGTAAGAGGTTCTGCACTATAAGCGGTTGCGTTATAAGTGGTATTCACTGTACGTTGGTTCTGCCATTCGTGCTGCCTCTTCCTTGTCGCCTCACAGCCGGCACTGACCACGCTATGCGCTACAAGCTCACTAGTCAATGGCGGAGTACTCAGCTGGTAGAGCTACAACAGGATTGTGACTTACACATATAGAGCTCTTCGCCTCGTTTGGGCCTAATGCAAACAAAACTTTGTCCACGACTGTATATATAAATCATACATTTGTTAAAGCAAAGGAACACAAACCAACAAAACCATGGTAGACAAAATAGCTATTGTGTAGTACAAACGTTTTATTAACCTTACAATGTATCAGATTAACGTGTTACCAACCTTAATGACGTTTATTATTATAGCAATAAAGAAACGTTTTCTTGCTTTTGTTCTTCTTAAAGCAAGTTAGAATAAGCTTTGACTAGAACTTTTTCCTAAAAGAAACTTTCACTAAAGAGGGCTAAAATAATGTTTGCCAATCAAGTACCAGTACGCTTATTTTGTTGTAACCAATTTTTCTTGCTGCCCATAATTGTATTCAAATACAACAATTTTAATAGTGTTTTTATAGCCAGCTGAACAACTCCACCAATGTACAGATATTAACAAGGTATCGGTGTAATAAATACACAAACAAGCAAACGTATCACATTTCGCGTACTTCAGACATTTCAAATTTTGCGCGAATAGGCGTTGTGTATGTGTTTTTTTTTTGAAGTCGAAAAATATTGTGTGCAGTTCATACTGGCGTACCTTATATTTTCGCTAACTCTTGTTAGTGGAAACACCAGAAACAATCTTTTTACTTACGATATAAAAAATGATGTGAACAAATGTGGATCGGTTGCGTCAGCAAGATAGAAATTGCGGAATCTCTGATAAGAACACGGCTACAGTGGCTAGAATAGGGAAGCGTTATGAACGCGCCGGCTAGCGCGTAACGCCTTGAGAGGAAACGTGTGCCAGCGCCAGATGGCGCTGGCCCACGTTTGCGAGTCACCCAAGGTGGTGATGCGGTGCGCAGAGACGGCAATCAACCACGCTCGCGGGCAATGTGAAACATTTAAAAAAATATTTTTTTTGCTCGTGCAAGACGTCAAATGGCGACCAATAAAATATGTTAATTAGCTTCTGGAAAACAAGATGCCTACGTGGGTGCACGACCGATCTGAAATATCGTCAGGTCGACAGAATGCCGAAAGTGAGCGTGTGACGGCACTGAAACATTTTATCGATGTGAAGTGGTAGAAGAGTGGAACGATGAACTCAGTTGTGAGCCATTGCTTGCAACACTTTCCACGGCGAACCTCAAGCACTAATCTGTAAATGAAGCCCCACCAATCAAAACGTCATACTCAGAGACGAGATTCACGAGTGGTATCTGGATCATCCTTTTCCTGCGTCCAGGTAATACAACACATTTCCGAGTAGTGACTCACTATCTGTTTGCAACATTGCAAACTTAATAATTTGTTGCACGTCGTTTTTTAATCCCAAGGAAAAAAGTTTTATAGTTCACAAGCGCCCAACAGAACATTATGCTGCAAGCCTAGGTGATGCGCCTGAGCTTCAAGTACTTCCTTTTTTCGCGGAAAGATGATCGCTCCTTGTGAAGTACTTTTGTGTAAAAACGCAAATGGTTGAGCAGAAAAAAACTTGTTTATTGATTGGTGAGGCTCGGACCTTGTTCAGCGCAGCCCAGTGTGACAATTTTTTATTCAAGCAAGAAACACGGCTGTCACTGTGAAGCCTGTTGTACCTAAATCACTTTGAAAAAGTGATTTCTAAGGCGTCTACAAATGCAAAGAGCTTCTCCGAAAAGCCTACCCATAGGCGTCTGCACAAGGGGGACAAAGGGGGCTGGCCCCCTGGGAGGGGGGCACTAAATCTGTGCTATGCATTGACTAAGCAGTGAGGGGGCGTAAAATCTGCCTCACACACTGATTTATTAGGAAGGAGGCAACCCGCAATGAACCTTCGCTACCCACCTCCCCCCCGAACGGCAAGCACGTCCATGGGTCTACCCCTTTCGACGCAGACGATTTCGCTAGTCACAGTGTGCTTGAAGTGCCGGGAGATGTACCTCTCGCCGAAGTGCTCGCACTCAGCCGAGGTTTCTTGAAGCAACTTGTCAGCACGTGGGATCGCTCTCCGCCACTGCGCTAATAGAACTTCGTCCTTCGGAACGCCGAACAATGCGTGCTTTTTTTTAGCTGACTTGTAGCCTGTAGTGCACCCCGGGAAAAAGAAATGACATTGTTTTCGCGCCATGAGAGTGCATACAGAAGCATTGGTGTTAGAGCACCGCCACAATTTAAAAAACGAGGAAGAACGCGCCTGACGAAACTGTCGGAAACGTGCAAACAACGTATAAACGATTGCGCGCGCCCCCGCGCGGCTCCTCCTCGGAGGCTGCATTGCGCTCCGTTGGCGCCGTTTGCCGCTCATCACACATTCCTATTCCAGCCACTGTACCACAGCTAGAGTGTACTAGAAGTGTTGAGTGGTGTGACCACGCCTTGCTGCCTTATCCCTTCCACGTTTCCCGCTGCAGTGCCGCAACAGTCGAATTGTGCTGAAAGAGCCGCGCGCAGCGTGCAGGGGCTGCTATGCGCTTCGGCTCCTTCGTCGCGCTTTCTTGATGCAGCTTCCTTCGTTCCTCCCCATCGTTCATGTCTAGCACATGATGCCATAGTCCTTGAAGTATGACCCCCCAAGCTACTGAATTTGAGCTCTATAAAATTTCTTGTGAGAGATTGAAAATAATTCAGAAAGGGTGTGTCATATTAGTACGCTTTTCTGTGTGTTTAGTGTCATTCCCCGGTGCATGCACCATTCAGGAATAATATTTAAACTATTATGTACGCTAATTTGATCATTGATAGAAATAATATGTTTAAAAAGCACGCAATCATCAGCAAATAATCGATTATGAACACCACCTTCAACCATACTAACAATTTCGTTAATGTATATAATAAAAAAAAGTGGGCCGAGGACACTGCCCAGCGGCACATCTGATGTGACTGGAAGTGAGCCCGATTTTTCACCATTCATTTTCACGAATTGATGCCGGTTCGTCAGATAAGCAGCAACCCAAAAAATCAACAGTCCTGAGATTCCAGCATTTACAAGATTCAGAATACATTTATTGAGAGGGAAAGTGTCGAAAGCTTTTCGGAAGTCTCAAACAATTATGTCAATTTGTCTGCTTTTGTCAAGAGTTGACGCAAAAAATGAACAGTGATCAGCCGTGTGACAGTCGAATGCCACCTCCTAAACCCATGCTGATATTTAGTTAAAACAGGATGCTTCTCTAAATATGTAGTTTTGCTGTTTGTGGCTATATATGATAAGTTCGCAGCATGACGAGGTTAGAGAAATAGGACGGTAATTTTCAACGAGAAGACCACTTCCCTTCTTTTGAATTGGTGCAATGCGGGCTGTCCTCCTGTCACTCGGCAATTCTGACAACAGCGATGTACGAAATGTTATAACAAGAAATTTTAATGAAGTTACCGCATATCTACTAAGAAATGAATTAGGGATATTGTCAGGTCCACTAGAACGTTTGGGTTTGAGGTTTAGCAGCATAGCAAGTAGCACATACCCAATAAAGTGGCTGAGGGGATAGCTGCCGCGGTAGCTCAGTGGTAGAGCATCGAACGCCTTATTCAAAGGTCGCAGGTACGGTTGCTGCTCACGGCAAGCTATCCTTTTAGGCACTTTTCTTTCTTTATATTTTCATTACAATTTGGTCTAATAACCTTCCCTATACTTTCTTTGGCAATATTGTCTGTTAGATCTCATTATGATTGTGTGAAAACACAGAAAAAAGAGCCCTTATTTTACACGTCCTTCCCATATATATATATATATATATATATATATATATATATATATATATATATATATATATATATATATATATATATATATATATATATATATATATATATATATATATATATGACAGTAGATGCGCTTTCACATAACAACTGTTTATTGTGCCGACGTTTCGACGGAACCCCGTCTTTTTCAAGAAAAAGGCAGGGTTCCCGTCAAAACGTCGGTACAATAAACAGTTGTTATGTGAAAGCGCATCTAATTTTATATTTATATCCTTGCGGCAACCGAAGTTAGTCTTCTGTATATATATATATATATATATATATATATATATATATATATATATATTTATATATATATATATATTACTCCCACTATATATATAGATATATATATAGTGGGAGTAATAATTCAATGGGCCAGTTAGTCTTTGTGAAGGTATGGGGTATGGCACAACGGGAGCGTTGTCAACAAGGATAAATATATTTATTTCCCAAGAGTTCCGGGAGGGGTCCTACCTTCATCAGGGGATCACTCATCCCCTGATGAAGGTAGGTAGGTAGGTAGGATATATATAATATATATATATATATATATTTATAGATAGATAGATAGATAGATAGATAGATAGATAGATAGATAGATAGATAGATAGATAGATAGATAGATAGATAGATAGATAGATAGATAGATAGATAGATAGATAGATATAGTGCATCTAATGGCGAATAGTTTAGAAACTTGGTTACATCGCAGGAAGCGGCAGTTTCGCGAAGCTCAAGCAGGCCCACATGAGGGAGCTGCCCTTCGAAGACTGCCGAAAGAGAGGTGGCCTGGTCTTCAGGAGCATTGACGAACGCTACAGCTTCTGCGCCGGTGACCCTCGAGGAGAGTACGGTGTTTGCCATGTGAGTTCCTTTATTCTCAATACGGCAGTCTGTTGTGCTCTATCGAAGCCCAGTGTTAGCTTCATTTTTTGCCACCAGAGAAATGACCAAAGAAAATGAATGCAGTCTCAGTTGGGGTTAAGAGACGCCATGCCGATGGTCCCTACAGAATCGTGTAACGAAATATCTACATAGGCGCTGCTTCTAACTAACGTCCAATGCCGAAATTTCGAATACCTGTAGTAAAGAAAGCAAACAGGAAAGAAGAAGACTGTTAAAATAGACCATTTTCATCAACAATATTGTCGGGCAACTTGGTATGGGTCCAATTTAGTATGAAGTGCGCAACTTTCACAAAGATAAAAAAGAAGAAACACAAGCACTTAACTTCAACTAAGCGTTTACGGCAAAACGTGAAAATATAATGGTGTGAAAAAAAAAAGATGAAAAGTCAAAAACAGAACAAAGAAACAAATGCCCACTTGTCATTTCACACAGTAGCCATCTATTATTATGAGTGTCATGACAAGCTCAGTACGCAGGGCATTATAATTAAGCACTTGAATTTGGATTGAAGTATGAAATGAACCCCGCAGAGCCGCCTATGTAAGCAGGCGTTTGGTGTGTAGCAACACCACGGACCCGAGCTAACGGGGGAGTTTCGACTCCCTCCCATGCTTAGCCGTGCGTGGCTTTGCCGTGTCCGGCGAAAAGGGGATCCTGGGGGTTGAACCAATGCTGGGTGATTGGACCCTTAAGGCCTGCCAGCGGTGGCAACACACCCCTTTGTCCCCGGCTTCACGTAGACGGCACTCCCGGATTGACCCGCCCGGAGGGAATCGGCAGTCGCGTTTTCCTGTCTGCACCTCACATCTTCGTCATTTCTCTTTAAATCTTTCCTGTCCTCTACTCACTTCCATTGACTTCCGTGTTTCCTGGCGGCAAGGGTTAACCCTGTGTGGCTATCCTACCTTGGATACACCATATCCGGTTATAGTGGTGGCGTACAGCTGACGTTTGCAGGGCCTGTACTTACAGACCCTGCAGCGTCCCCTTGTAGGACTCTATGGTGGGTGGCTGGCGTCGCTGCCGAAATTAAACATTTAAATATGGCTAGTTCCTTCCCGCTCTAACCACTATGCTATCGCTGCACATCCGCGTGGTGATGGAACTGCATTACGAGGCCTGGGGTGCGGCCTCACCGGTAACCACCGCCGGGAACGCACTCCCTCACCAGAGAAGGATTGGCCACCCTGGTGCAGTATCTGGTCACTACCTCCCACATGCATACGTCAAATAACTCAGGGCCCTCAGTCTCCAGCAGCTGCGAAGCAACTGACCACAGCGGCGGTGAGATCTGCAACGCAGCAGAGGGTGCTAAGAATCTCTGGATCCGGACAGGCCGCCATTGGAACCTGAACTTGGCAACGTTTAACCCTAGAACCTGATCTAGTGAGGGAAGTCTAGCTGTACTGTTCGAGGAGCTAGAGAGTGTTAAATGAGTTATAATAGGGCTCAGTGAGGTTAGGAGGACAGATGAGGCCTATACGGTGCTACAGAATGGGCATGTCCTTTGCTATCGGGGCTTGGCTGACAGAAGAGAACTACGAGTGGGGTTCCTAATTCACAGAAACATAGCTGGCAACATAAAGCAATACTATAGCATTCATGAAAGGTTGGTAGGTATCGTAATTAAACTGAATAAGAGATACAAGATGAAGGTGGTACAGTCTTACGCGCCTACATCCAGCCATGATGATGCTTCAGTTGAAAGCTTCTATGAAGACGTGGAATCGGCACTGAGTAAGGTAAAAACACAGTATACAATACTGATGGGAGACTTTATTGCAAAGGTAGGGAAGAAGCAGGCAGGAGACCAGGCAGTAGGAGAATATGGCATCGGTACTAGAAACGCCAGAGGAGAGCTACTAGTAGAATTCGCAGAACGCAATAATTTACGGATTTCGAATACCTTCTACCAAAAACGAGGAAACCGCAAGTGGACATGGAAGAGCCCTAATGGCAAAAATAAGAAGGAAATAGACTTTATAATAAGTGCACACCCAGGCATCGTGCAGGATGTGGAAGTGGTTGGCATGGTACGATGCAGCGACCATAGAATGGTACGGTCTCGAATTCACCTAGATTTGAGGAAGGAACGACAGAAACTAATACGCAAAAAGCCAATCAATGAGCTAGCACTGATAGGGAAAGTACAGGAATTCAGAGTCTTGCTTCAGAACAGGTACTCGGCTCTTAGGGAGGAAACCAACCTTAGCATAGATACAATGAATGATAATCTGACGAGTATCATTACGGAGTGTGCGGTGGAAGTTGGAGGCAGGGTAGTTAGACAGGACACTGGCAAGCTTTCCCAGGAAACGAAGAATCTCATTAAAAAGCGTGAAATCATGAAATTCTCAAGTACAACAGAGAAAATAGAACTAGCTGTGCTTCCGAAGTTGAATAATAGGCGTAAGGTGTCCGACGTAAGAAGATATAACATGGAGAGAATTGAACACGCTCTGAAAAACGGAGGAAGCGTCAAAGCAGTGAAGAGGATACTTGGAATAGGCAAAAATCGGATGTATGCACTAAGCGACAAACAAGGCAAAATAACTACCAATATGGAAAGGATAGTTAAAATAGCGGAGGAGTTTTACAGAGATCTGCACAATAGCCGGGACAACCACGATTTCAATACTATGAGAACTAGCAGAACTATAAGAACTATAAGAACTAGCAATACTATAAGAACTAGCAGTAACCCAGATGACACCCCATCAGTAATGATAGAAGAAGTCAGAAAAGCTTTGGAGAGCATGCGAAGAGGCAAAGCTGCTGGTGAAGATCAGGTAACATCAGATCTGCTGAAAGATGGAGGACAAATTGTGTTAGAAAAACTAGCCACCCTGTTTACGAGGTGTCTCCTGACGGGAAGGGTATCAGAGTCTTGGAAGAACGCTAACATCATCTTAATACATAAAAAAAGAGACGACAAGGACTTCAAGAATTACAGGCCGATCAGCTTGCTCTCTGTAGTATACAAGCTATTTACAAAGGTAATTGCTAACAGAGTAAAGAAAACATTAGAATTCAATCAATCAAAGGAACAAGCAGGATTTCGAACAGGCTACTCAACAATCGACCACATTCATACTATCAATCAGGTAATAGAGAAATGCTCAGAATATAACCAACCATCATACGTAGCCTTCATAGATTACGAGAAGGCGTTTGATTCAGTAGAAATATTAGCCGTCATGCAGACACTGCGGAATCAGGGTGTCGATGAAGTATATATAAACATCCTGGAAGAAATGTACAGGGGATCAACTGCTACCATAGTGCATCATAAAGAAAGCAACAGAATACCAATGAAGAAGGGTGTAAGGCAGAGGGACACAATTTCCCCAATGCTATTTACCGCGTGCTTACAGGAGGTTTTCAGAAGCGTAGAATGGGGACAGTGAGGAATAAGAGTTAATGGAGAGTACCTTAGTAACCTGCGCTTCGCCGATGACATTGCATTGCTGAGTAACTCAGGGGACGAATTGCAACGCATGATTACAGAGTTAGACAAGGAGAGCAGAAAGGTGCGTCTTAAAATGAATCTGCAGAAAACGAAAGTAATGTACAACAACCTCGGAAAAGAGCAGCGCTTCGAGATAGGTAATAGTGCACTTCAAGTTCTAAAAGACTATGTTTACTTAGGGCAGGTAATAACCACGGAGCCGAACCACGAGGTTGAAGTAACTAGAAGAATAAGAATGGGGTGGAGCACTTTTGGCAAGCACTCTCAAACTATGACAAGTAGATTGCCACTATCCCTCAAGAGAAAGGTGTATAACAGCTGTATCTTGCCGGTACTTAGCTACGGAGCCGAAACCTGGAGACTTACAAAGAGGGTTCAGCTTAAATTGAGGACGACGCAGCGAGCAATGGAAAGAAAACTGGTAGGTGTAACCTTAAGAGACAAGAAGAGAGCAGAGTGGATTAGGGAACAAACGGGGGTTAAGGATATCATAGCTGAAATCAAGAAGAAGAAATGGACATGGGCCGAGCATGTAGCGCGTAGACAGGATAACCGCTGGGAGTTGAGGGTAACTAACTGGATTCCAAGAGAAGGCAAGCAGGTTAGGGGGAAACAGAAGGTTAGATGGGCAGATGAGATTAAGTAGTGTGCGGGTATAAATTGGCAGCAGCAAGCACAGGACCGGTTTAACTGGCGGAACATGGGAGAGGCCTTTGTCCTGTAGTGGACGTAGTCAGGCTGATGATGATGATGATGATGATGATGATTCTCAACCACACCATTCAAAAGAAAGTGTATAAAAATAGTGCCTAAAAGCCATGATGTCTGACTCTCAGACGGTAGAATGTTTCAATCAATATTTTCAATAAGGTTTTTCGCATAAAAATACCGAGCAGGCATCGTTTTTATACAATAATACCCAGGCATTGTAATGAATGCTGTTGACATCTATTTAGTATTACGCAGCCTAGATGCAACAAAAACCATTGGACCTGATGGAGTGTCTCCATTAGTCTTCAAAGAGTGTCATGATAATATTGCTTTATATTTAGGTAGCATCTGTGAACTCTCCCTCGAAACTGGTCTTATTCCCCAAGGATGGAAGACGGCAAACGTTACATTCATTTTCCAATCGGACGATAAAAAACCAGAAAAATTACAAGCTAATCTCATTAGGATTGGTATGCTGCAAAATATTCCAACATATTTTACATACCAAAATATTTAAATTTCTTTCTTCATACGCTTACTTTACTCCATCCCAGCACATTTTAATAAAAGGTTTCCAGTAACACACAATTATTAGAATTGCGGCATTTCACATTGAAAGCCATTGACCACAATATTCGCGTCGGCGTGGTTTGCATAGACTTCCAAAAAGCATTTGACACTGTATTCCATAAGCTCCTAGATGTAAGGCTTGCTGAGTGCAAAGTAACAAAAATGCCAACCAAGCTGAAATGCACAGAAATTAAAAGGACGTTTT